GGGGAGCCCGGCCCCCTGAACCTGGTCGTCCCCGCAGCCGGGTCACCCTGTGCTCTGTGCTGTGGTGGCCACAGTGTGCTGCCTCCCGAGGTGGCCGGGCTGGGACAGGTGGGTGCAATGCAAGGGCGCTGGGGAGGGGGATGGGGGGGAGCAGGCCCATCCTCATCCGCCATGAACCGGGCCTCACCAAGCAGAGAGTTCAGGATGTGGCTCAGCCTCTCTGGGACTCGGAAGTTTCCAGAAGCTACTTCCTGGGTCAAAGTGCTTTCCCTCTGGGTCTAGGGTCCGAGACAGACCCTCCGTGACAGGCATGGCCCTGACCGTGAAGTGGCCGCCCGAAGTTGCAGGGTTCTCTGCGACCTCACACGGTCACAGCTGCCGGCTCGGTGGGGACACAGCCCAGGTGCTGTGTCGACAGACGAAGCCCGGCTGTTGGGGTCCTGTGAAGGTGACTCACAGTGAAATCCACATCCCAGGCTCCGTGGAGAATGGGCTCAGAAGCTGGAGCTGAGGCACAGGGCGCTGCAGGCTCCCCTGGAGGCCGCCCCGCGGGCCTCCGGAGACAAGACGGCAGCCTGAGTCCTGCGTGGAGCTGAGGCACACAGCCAGTCACGTGAGTTCCCCCAAGAAGGGACACCCCGTGAGGGACTGTGTGTGGGCACCGCCAACTGCACCCACAACCAAGCTTCATGGGCACTCTCCCCCTGCTGTGCTCGGCTGCCATGGAATGCCATTGGTTTTGCTTTCGAAGCACATAGTAGGTGCCCAATAAAACCTACAATAATTGGAACAAGTGTTTGTGCAAAATTTCCTCCGTCTTTAAACTCCACACATCCTAAAAGCTGACCAACATGTTGTCAACTCGCAACAGCCATAGAAAGAAACTCAGCTGCCCCACCAGGCTTTCTGACTCCTAGGCTGCAAATTTTATTTCCCCTTCGGTCAAAACATGCCCTAAACCTCAGCCCCACAATCACGGCCAATGTGAGGTCCTGTAAACCTCTGCTTTCCCAGAATTCCCCATGTGCACAGGTGGGAAAGCTCAGGTTTGCAGACCCGCGTTCCCTGAGGCCATGCGGCCCTGAGGTCAGGATTCCATCCTCGCTGGAGCCCCACCTGTGGCTGTGACTACCCTGGACGGGCAGGAGGCAGGGCACCCAGCAGAGGCCGGGCCGCCACAGGACCTGGCCCCTCTCATCTCCCGACAGGGACCCAGGCTCCAGCAGCGACCACCCTATGTGGTCACTCAAATGCCACAGCCCGTGTTCTCACTGGCCCAGACCCAGCTGTGGTCCTGGGTCCGCTCTGAAGTTGCGGAAGCTCTGGTCTGGGGCTGGAGTCTAGCTGTGGCTCCCTCTGGTCTCACGTTGTCTCTCCAGGGTTAGCTGCTTGTTGGTTTGGGTTCTCTTTTGTGTTGACCCTCCATCAGGTTGACAAAGGGCAGGGAAGGCGCACGGCTTTGCCTGCCCTGGGGACTCTCCAGGGAGTTAATCAGAGAAAAGGCTCTGAGAGCAGCCGCCAGGGACCTTCTGTGCCCAACAGATTCCTCAGAGGACAATTCCAGAGCTGACCTCACAGTTGAAAGTCCAGAAAAAACAAGTGGCCCTGGCCGGTTGCTCAGTGGTTAGAGCACTGGCCCACAGCCTGAAAGGTGGCAGGTTCCATTCCCAGTCAAGGGCACATACCTCAGTTACAGGTTAGATCCCCTATCCCGGACGGGGCACATGTGAGAGCCAACTAGTCCATGTTTCTTTCTCTCTCTCTCTCTGTCTCCCACTCCCCCCACCCTTTCACCCTCTCTCTAAAGATCAATGGAAAAAATATCCTCGGGTGAGGATTAAAAAAAGAAAGAACAAGTGGAGAAGTTACGAGGCAGACCTACAAGCACACTCCTCAGTCATCACCGGGCCATCTGTCACATTCGTGACTCAGGAGATTCCCTGGACAAACAGCCTGGGGACCTGGCGATCCCCGGACATAGTCTGGAGTAGGAGTCGCTCACTGACACTGGTGAAGGCCCCGGCTGCTGGAGGTGGTTTTATGTGAGGATACACTTAGCTCATCGGTGCTGTTAACACCAATGAACGGAGGCGTAGACGAGCCCCTCTTGGCCGGAAGGGCACAGTCACGTCCCCGTGAGGCTGTGCAGAACCCTCAGGAACAGCCACCCCCTCCTTGCCATCTGTTACCACCCCAATGACCCACCATGCCCCAATAATGGCAGGAGCCCAAACCAGGAACGCAGACAACTGACCAGCCTTGTCTTCTGTGTCATTGATCTTGTCCTCGGGCAAAGCTGAGCCAGACTCAGATGCTGGGGACACTAGGTGAGGAGGGACGGGGAAGAAAGAGACGATGGGAGGTGAGCGGGTGGGCCTGGGGCATGAGGTGAGCGAGACTCCATTCTAAGGGACCCCGTGGGGGCTCAGCTGGGAGCTCCCTCCTCGCTTGGGCCCTTTGTGACTCGCCACAGCCTGGGTTGTGGAGGGTGTCCCTGAAACCTAGCTCCAGGGGCTGAGTTCTGCAGAACACATATGCTTTCTCTTAGGGAGGAGGAAACAGGGAGAGAGAGAGAGAGAGAGAGAGAGAGAGAGAGAGAGAGAGACCTGAGGACGGGCTCAGCCACACAGCCTGGAGAAAAGGGAATCATTTACAGAACATTTCCCCCTGAACTGCAGGACACACACTTTTTAAGCACACAACAAACATTTCCCAAGACTAAAAACATTTCAAAAAGGAAGGTGCTCAAATGGCCAATGAGCCCATGAAAGGATTTTGCCGTCATTAGTCATTAAGGAAATTAATGCAGACACGGCACATGCCCAAGTTGCGGGCTCCGTCCCCACGGAGTGTGTGTGTGTGTGTGTGTGTGTGTGTGTGTG